AGAATCCGATTTCTGTGGGAGAAAGGACTGAAGCGTGAGCATAACAGATGATTTTTTAGCAAGCGGAATCATGTTACTACATTTGAGCAAGAAATAGGAATTCCTACGCTGGTAATGATCAAAGCTGAATCCCTTGAGCTCAAACTGAGAGCGTCACCTGTTCAATTTGATCTGAAAGCCGAAGGGTCATTCTGTTAGATCCTGCCTTCTACTTTCAAAATAAAAGCTGGGACAGTTTAACCCACAGGTGGAGACAAAGAGCAGCATTTGCTGTCTATATTATTTCAAAAATTAAAAAACATTGACACTAAATGACTAAAATCACATCCAATTTGGATAGAATGTAAAGAAGCATATCATGAAGTGTTTCTGTGTTTGTATTACTGTTATTACTGTTACTGGTACAAATCAAAATGTATCCAGTATTGAAAAGTGTCAACTAGCTAAAGCTGGCATCAAATTGTTTCGTAATCTTGTTTTTTTCTGATTTTGATCAGAATTCTGTTAGTTTCAGACTATTTTGTACTATTTGTATTTATTGTGTGAGACATCATTATTTTGAAAGAATAACACATTCTTCCTCTTAAAAATGAAAAGAAACTTACCAGCAACAAAACACACAGTTGCTAAACTCAATACACTACAATACACAGGTTCTTGATGCAACAGCCTTACTTATTGAGACTAATAGCTTACGGTGGTTAATTCTAGCTAATTAAATTGCTGGTTAACTTACTCTACTGAGTTTTGGGACTTTATAACTCTTCTCTACTTCTGCTTCTTAAAACTAAAGGAAGTTTTTGTACTTACCTCTATCCCATAATTGTCACTTGTGGCCATTGTTCATTAAAAGTAAAAAGTTTTTAAATGAGATAAATCAAACAATAATGGGCCTTAGAAACCAGAAATTAGAATACTAAACGTAGAAAACTTAACTAAGTGGGCCAAACCTTACATCTTTGATACTTCTTTTCCCCCCTCTCTCTCTTTCACACACACACACACACACACACACACACACACACACACACACACACACACACACACACACACACACACACACACATACACACAAGCACCTTGGTCCCCCAGACAGTGCTATTGAAGTCTTTAATCAAGACTAATGTGGAATGTCCCATACGACCACCATTAATCATTTGAAGCTGGCCAACTGTGCCATTGATCAATGCTATACATCAAAGCAGCCGCTGCTGGCACAAGTCTAAATTTCTGTCCAGCTCTTTTTGTACTGTACCACAAGTCAAGTCTTAAATATTGTATATGACACAGCCATTCCCATTGCTCTTACAAAATAAGAAATGTGACAGAGTAATGGGAAAACATTTTCTCCTTTTCAACCATGTTAAGCTACTTATTTTAACTGAACTGGCATGTAGAACAAAGAAGTTTATATGAAATGGCATAAAAGACTGTTACAATTGAAATCAAGCAGAGACCCGGTCTAAGTCATGTGCTGCTCGGTTACAATGCTGACAAAATCCAAAATCAAAACTAACAGAGAGTAGAGTGCAAAGGAACTTTTACTCTGAACTGACTTTTTCAGCACAGACATTCACAAACAGGAACACTCTGAGGTTTCCAAGGCTCTTCTTTTGACTACTGTGATACAATTTTGGTGGTACCTTGTAAAACAGTAAATTTAAGAGACTATGAAATACAGAGACTGCCTATCTTATACAGACCAAGGGACTGGCAAGGACACAAACGAAGTGGCCTCTACCACCTGGGGAGATAAAATCCAGTCCAAGCTTTCCAGCAGTGAATGCAATATGCACAAGGTGGATAAAAACAAAGAGACTCTCTTAAACACACACACAATGGAACTAAATTTAGCCATATGCCACCTATAGAAACTTTCCTCACACACACACACACACACAGTGCACCCCGCTGATTTCTCTCCTCAGGAGATCTGTACTTGTCTTGCTGTAGCCAAGTTTTCCTGGGACAGGGCCCAGCGGCTAACAAACAGCAGTTTATTAATTGGATCTGGTAGCGTGTTTATATTGGTGAGGACTGAGATCATTTCACACTGGCCTTGGAACAGGTGTGCTCGGCAGCGGTGCCAAATGAGCAAACTGCACGGGCTCAGCAGATTCAAGCAAAAAAAGGATGAGCCTTCACAGGAAACCTACAATAAATCAGCACAAAGAAGCAAAACTTCCTAAGCTCTCCCTGCATTCATATCTATTCACATCCACAACACATAATGGTTGTTTGTTCTTTTTCCCTTGATTCTGCAATCTTCCATCTCTAAAACTCTAAATGTTTCGCCACATTTCTCCTTAAGTAGCATTAAAGTTCTCTTCTATAAGAGATACCATGCTTACACAGACTGAGATGTTTTTTGGACCATTAGACTAAATCAAAACTGCAGTGTTGGATATAATTTCATGATTTGGACTAGAACTGAAAATATTAAAGCATTAAACACTTCCAAAAAAAATGCAAGTGGGGACCTGTGTGCCATTCAAGCAGCAGATCTACTTCATACTACTTGGCACGTGTGCATTTTTTGAGCGGCATATATATACGATTTTGTTGTCGGTGTAGGAACCACCCCATACTGATGCTCAAGTTCGGTATCCAATCCAGCCAATTCTTTATGGATCATCAGTAAAACTGTGACCGCTGTGCTCCCTATTGAGCTCTATTAAAACGCAAACCTATTCCACACAGCCTTGCGGCATTAAAACTGTGGAGTGGCATTAAAAAGTAAGACGCTGCTATGAGTAACATGAAGATATCCACTGTGACAGCATGCGTCAGCAAGTAAAGCAAGGAGGGCAGCTTTGGGTAGGAAAGAAATATATTTGCGAACCTAACCTCTAAAGTGCTGTTATTATGAAAACTGCCTTTTAACTTCCACATTTTGCTGGAGATGAAAATAAACTGATATTCAAACCCTAAAAGGAACCACTTTCCTTAATGCTGAGCAATTCAACTATCAAGCATATCTCAGCAACGTTGGATTGGTTCAACTAACTTTAATGTGTGCAATATGTTACATTTAGGGAAATATATATTGTATATAGGAGTGGGACTCAGTGTTTCCAGATACAAAATATTACTGGAAATTAGCCCAAAAAATATCAAGGCATCCATACATCATTAGTAGTTCCCTTTCATGCGCCCTCATCTGTCCTTCTGCCCCAGACTGAACGGTTACAGCCCCGGCAAAACAGACCCATGTAGAGGTCACAGACCACCTGTTCTGAGTTGGCTGAACTGGTGAAGTGATATCAGAGGACACATCTGGCCTGACAGGGAACAAGCCGGATGGGAATGGCAGCATGCTCCTGGGCCTGGTGACGGATGACTCACAGCTGATGCTGAGGTCACTAGAGGTCACATGGAGAACAGTGAATGGAAGAGTCAGCCGGGACAGTGTGTTTCCAAAGAACGTGCTATTTCTGAACAGGGATGGGGTGGTTGTGGTTTTTGGTTAAATAGTGGTTTTAGATTTGCAATATTTCAGAGTGGTTGACAGTTATATGTCACATGTATAAGAGATAATGAATGTGTAAATTAAGCCTGGACAGTATCAAGGTATTACAGTATCCCAGCATATTTAGAAATCCTGATTATATGATTTTCAATACTGTCAAAAAATGATGCTCCTCTTTCTGGTGGATCGATGGTTGGTTTTATTTTCTGTTCGGATTTGAGTGGGTATCTTTGGGCAAAGAGCTCTGTGCTTGTCTCATAAGGTTTGTGGCGTTTCACATTGGCGTTTTAATAATCGCCACGGTCTGCCTGTGGGAAGAATGAACATGTAAGAGTCTGTCCATTCTTGATACAAAGTTCTTTTCGGCGTCTACTTTTCTCATTTTAGAGCACACCATGTGAAATTACTTTTCAGACTTGCTTATTTCTCCCAGTGTCTCTTATTTCGTCTCCTTTGTGTCACACAGGCTGTGATTATCTCACTATCTGAGTCAAGTCGCAATGCACATATTTGATTGGCTGAGTAGAGTGATGTGAGATGATTCTGGGCTGCTAAAAAGATGTTTAAAAAAGCTGCTACAATGACTTCAGCTTTTAAGGTTTTTTTTTTTGTTGTTGTTTTTTTTTTTAACCAAATACCATCATATACCATATACCCCGGTGAAATGTCAGGAAGTAATGAAGGTATGAAAATGTAGATACCGCCCAAGCCTTGTGTAAATCAATATTACTGAACTTTGACAACAGCAGTCGTTTTTCATTTTCAAACTCCGACTAAAGGTTCTGCGGTATAAAAAGGGGAAGCAGCAAGAAAATCTCAGCAGTCCCATTTGTGTTTGTTCTAGAGTTACCAGAGATGGAGGTCTGACCAGTTGTGGACTAAACCCATCATTCTAGTGTCAATATCTGTATCCCAAAGCAGCAGGGTAAAATATTATGTCTCCACTCCCTCTGAATAAGAAACATTGGCAGAAAGAAGACCTGAGACAGCGATGTCATCATTCTTGTTAGACTGTAAATTTCCCCGGACATGTAACCTTTACGCACTTTTTCTTCTGGCTTTACAACAGTCTTTTCTCTTTATAGGAAACAATTTGTGTGTGTATCTACATATTTATGAACTCCAAATGATCCCCACCCCTCGTTTCACAGTTCACTGTGTTGTTTTCCGCAGTCAAGAAGGGAGTGGAGTGATGAGAGGAGAGGGAAAGGAGGGGAGGACAAGCATGTCCTCGGAGCTCTCTTCTGCATTATTCTTTATCAGCTTTCATCTTTAGGCCCTTCAGAGAGACTGAACCATAAAAGAGTCCAATCACTAGGGGACATATTATTTTCTCCCTCCTTGAATACACTATATTATAGCCCAGACCCATACAACTTCTCCCCCTCTTGCATATATAAATCCAGCCAGCCATAGCTGGCAGTGTGGGTTTATCTATTGGCTCTGTATGTGATTATAATAATAAATATGAAGTTCCCTCTGTCCTGGTGAGTGTGGAAAGAGAATTAAAATTAATCAGTGGAAAACTCACTCATTTTTCTCCAGCAACAGAATCAGCTGTTCACCTTCCGCTTGTACCAGCAGCTGGAGTGACGCAGGATGTCTCTGCAACACAAAAAGATGATGGGAGTGTTGAGGTGGTGCCCGGATCTCACCCATCCTGCCTGTGGATCAGCATTTGTGTGAAGCTTCACCTTACTTACACAGGCTGTGTACCAGGCAGGATGTGGTAAGGCACAATAGTGTTAGAGGAACAGGAAGAAAGCTGCCACATCCTACACTTCCCAAGTCTGTGCACGTCACAACACGGCCTACTCAAGGTTTCTATCTGTACTCTGTCTCTTCAATGTTATAATCTTTTTTTTTTCTGTAATAGTGATTCAATTTATTCACATTCAGTGATTACCTTTATAGATATTAGTTTTAATTATTAATGACGAAGTCTGCAATTCCTACACTGGCTTCAAAATGCTCTTCTACTAAGTTACTGCTAATGCTTTGGCAGACTGTGATGACTTGCGTATGAGTATTTCGTGCCACTAATTCATGGCTGCCAGAACCCAGGAAATGAAGGTGATGCAGGAGATTTTGCTCAAAATGTCAAGTGCCTTTTTGAAATTTAATCCTAAATGAAATCTCAAAACATTTCCCAGCAAACAGCTCTAAGATGACTTGATGCCTTAAGAAAATTGTTATCATAAGAGTGCCCTTGCAGCAGGACAGAAGAAAAGTGTATTCATGCATGAGGAAATACAACAGGGAAAACACGAAGAAAGACATCTCAATGAGTGAGGAATAGAAATCACATCAGTTGATATTTCAGATGTACTGTGACATTTCTTAGATCTGCTGACCAGTGCCTTGAGGCCAATACTTTGCCACCCGGTCTGCAGCTCTGTCTGAGAGTCAGGGTGTCTATGTTTGTGTGTGAGAGTTATGTGTGTGTGGAGAGTGGATGTCACTGTAAGTAATGACTCTGCAATACTTTACGATTGCTTGATAACCCTCTATTGGCACAAGGAGCAGCTATATAAATCTGTTATCCGGGAAGGTTTAAGTCTTAGTGCAATAAGACAATCAAGCAGCTGCCCTAGCGGTCAGTTTAATATGGGAAGGGTCAGTTTGTAAGCAGTAGCTGGTGGTTAAACATATTTGATGTAGTTAAAAACGGGCTGCTTAATTAACTCCATGAAGCTAAAAGTTGCTTTTTTTCCCCTCATGCCTATGTGACATGTTAGTGATAACCAATTCAGCTAATTAACATCACTGCCCTTCCCCTACTGACTGAATTTGAGAGAGGAGCATATAAGGCTACTCTCAGATGGTGACTTCCCTGCACCAGGAAAAAATGTTTGATTGCTCAGGGAGTTCTCAACACCTACGCATTTCCCTCCTCTGGAAAAGTTTCCTTAAGTTGTGGTGGGGGATGCCGAATTTCAAACATTTTCTTTTTTCCAGCAGTAGTAGGTGGGACAGGCTGGTTTTCGTTGCCTGAGAACACAAATCTAGAGAGTCCAGAGAGGGTTGATTTGACTGTACATATGTACGAATGGAAAGAACACATCTATAACGTGTTGTAAGGCTACTTCATGCTCTCGAATATTTCTCACAGTGTCAGGTTCGTGAACTGCTGACTTGTAAAAACTGTTGAAAGGCTGGTGTGCTTCAGGAATAATTTCACAGCATGTATCGCCTATGGGGCAACTGTGTATTCAACAAACAAAAGAGGACGTACTTAAAAACAGAGGAGAGGGAGCAGGAGAGGAGAGAAACCACAACAGGATAAACAGAGCTGAGGAAGGGACTTTCTGCTGAAGAAAAAAGCAAGCAGGCGAACAGGGAATCATATACTGTGGTTATGTCAAACAAAAAGCCACACATCTGTACTTGGCTGAGCTCTTGGAAGCACACTTGGGAGCCAGCTTATTAGCATTAAGCTAGTACTGCTAAACAGCCTTGAGAGTATTTACCCCGGCTGGGAGCTGGCAGAGGGGTCTGCGCTCCTTGCCCTTCAGCAGCAGCGGTACGGTGGTCCCATAGCGCTCTGTTTTGGTTGCTTCCCCTCGCTGTTTAGGCTTGTCTGAACTACTTCCTGTAAAAAAAAAAGATAATTAGGGCAGATTAAATAGTTGAATAATGAAAATGTAACATCACACTACAAACATCCTACAAATGCTTATACAGTAGACTTTGTTAAACTGGCATGCAGACAAAGGGGTCAGCGATATAGGTCAAAGCTGCTCTGTAATATCCTCAATAATTCAAGCAAACCAAAAATGCTTCAGATAGAGAGAAAGCCTGTAACAAAGGCAGGGGAGCCTGAGAGGAGATGTGCTGTCCCCCAAAGGGCCTCTGAAGTAGGACCACATTCACAGACACATCAATAATAGATGCTCCCACACAGTTTATGGGGAAGTCAGCCTTTACAATATCTCCAGACGGTAGTGGAGTTAAAAAAAAAAAACAACTGCCAGGATAAAATTGTCCTTTCCATTTCTTATTTTTGTTTCTATCTTTGCCTCTTTCACTGTAGGTCAGAAACTAGCGCTGCAGTTTTCTGTTTCCTCCTTCTTTGCACTTTCTCTCTTCAACATATCATCTTACTCCTCTTGTCACTGAAGTAAAATTAGCAAAGTTGAAGCCAATTATGCTAACGAGCTCTTAAAGACTGCTCATTTGGGAGGCAAACAGAATGGGATGTATACATATATATAGCATAGGATGAAATATAATAAATCGGATCAGTGGCTTCAAGCTGAATGTGGGAATCGCAGTCACAATTCCCTCTACTCTCTCAGCTCTCATCCCTTTTCTCCCACAGACAACTGAGGCTGTCCCTAATGCTCCCACGGCCTTACTGGGCATGTCTGCGCTGTAGCAGGCCCAGCAGGCTTCCTGTGAAGCCCAATAAATGTTACAAACCCAGAGAGGACCTGTGGAGATGGAGTGGAGAGGGAGTGTTAGAGGGGAGGGGAGAGGTTGTTTGAGGTTTCACACTCCTGCTATCACCAAAGGAAGACCGAAAGAGCATGCTGTGTCTCTATTTACTGTACGTCTAAGGTCTAGGCCTGTTCCCTAATCCCTTGAGATACGCACATAAAGGATCTGTTTGTCTGCATGAGCATGTGTAGCGCCACGCGGGGTACAACAAGAGTTCAGTAGTACACTGAAAAACGATACTACTGTCTGACATATTTTGTTTACTCTTCTTCCCTCTCTCCTCCCGGCTGGCAGTGTCTTCATTTTCAAGCACTCTGTCTCTTAAAAGCCTGACGTTTCTTTTCTTTGAAGACGAAATTCAGCGAGGACTCCTGCACCACCACAAACTGCATTTCTTACATCTTCAAACAGTCTGTGACAGCGGTTGCTCTGCGCTCTCACTGTGGCCCACGACTCTCCGTATATCCACAGTGCATAATAAGCTAACAAGGGCATAAAAGGGACCTCCTCTATTTAATGGGGTATTTGAACATGTGCCGATGGTAGTTTGTTGGTTTTAGTGGTGCATGAAAACCGCGTTAGACAGACGGAGCAGCATGACTGAGACCACAGGCTGTGGCTAGAGTGCCATTAAAGAGCAGCTATAAAAGGAAAGTCATGCAGACGTCTTGCTAATAAAAGACACTTCCACTGATGTCCCTCGCAAATTCATTTAGATCTCTCAGATACTGTATGTTAATTGAATACCAATGCACAGAGGAAACTGAAGCAGGGGTATGCTAGGAACAAACTAGTTCATACAAGATGTCATCAGACCGACTCTGAGGGCAAAAGCGTTTATAGATGTTGTGAGTGGTCACACTCGAAAGAAAGAGGTGGGGGGCCTGAAGCACAATGAACTGCACTCTTTTGGGCAATCTTTCCTCAAAGGCATTCATGCTGTTGCACTTGTTTGTTCACAGAGAAAGTGATGGAAGAAGTTGTGTGAAGAATAATAAGGAAATCTTGAGAGAGAAGTTCAATTTCTGCCTTGTTTTTCACTTCTACACACTTGCAGCGTGAAGTGCGTGCCCTTGTTCGATTGCTGCTTTCTGAACATGCAAATTCAAGCACTTTGTTAGAAACATACTGACCCCTTCAATGTGTGATTTAATGTTTATGTATGTGTGTGCAAGAGAACCGAATGCTGTATGTGAGCTTGTCAAGGTTTTTGTGTGCACCAGGGCTCAAGCTGGATAAAGATTAAAGTTTATATACTGTAGTTTATGCTGCAACACCCGTCATTGCTCCCCAAAAAGAAGCACTCCCTTCAAACAGCAAAGAAATGTGACATTCATGATCATTCTCATGGGCTTTATCCTCTTTGGGAACCTTTGAAATTCAAACTAAAACTGGGTTAATCCCATATGTTTTCTGGAGAGTATCTTGATTGCTAAGCCAACCACAGTTGTATCCCCATATTGGACACAAGGGAAAATCAGCTGCGGGTCATACATCTAAAAAACACAAGTCTGTTTGGCAGCCAAAAACATCTTTCCCCGACTCTCTCTTTAAATAGCCTCAAAAAAACCAAAGCTCTTTTAAGCGAACTCCATTTGGACCATCTCACAAGGATGATTCGTTTCTGCCATTTTGGCATTCCACCCCGAACATGAGTGTATTACTAATTAACTGGTAGGTAATGTGAATTCAAACAGGGCCTGAAGTCCACTTTTCTCAGCAGGGAAGTGACACAGCCAACAATATAAACAAACAAAATGAGCTGCAATTACTTCAAACTGAGGGCGCTGCGGACAAAAATCAAACACATTACGCACACGTATTTTACCTGCTGCATCAGAGACCTTTACTGATGACTTTCACATTTATTTGTAGATTTATTTATTCATCTTTTTTGAGGAGAAGGGTGCATATATTGTGGGGGTGATTAAAGCGAGGCAGCTATACATGCATAATTAATGTGCTGAAGAATGCATATGTGCAGCATTATCTGCGTTCCCTTTAGTCTACAGCAGAAACAGAATACACCACTTTTCATTCACAGCTAATACTGTGTCTGCTCAATCAGCAATGTTAACGTGGGGTTCCTCTCTTGAGATGAACAAAAGAATAAACAACGTAAGGAAGGTCAAAACAGGGGGATGAAGGACATGTAGTAATCTATAGGCAATGTGCTGAGGGAGTACAAGAGAGCGTGAACATCACAGCGTGACTTAAAAAAACCTCCTGCAATCTGATTATCCTAAAATGGCATTTGCATACAAACTATGTGTAACATACGGTGTATTTTAGAGAAATTGTTACACCCTGCAGGTTTAGATTTTTTAGCATAGGAATAAAAACCTTTTAATTGAGTTTACTCTCGACCTTGGAAAAAGCAGTTCTCACAATATCATGTAATCAAAAGCTACCAAATTGCCTTTGTGAGTGACATTTTGTTAACTGCTGTTTTTCAAAGTTATGACTGAGCTTTAATGCTTTGGTTTTCTCTATGAATTATTTGATCTATAAAATAATAATAAAAATTACATAAAAATGCCCATCACATTTACCTGAAGGCCAAGACACTGTATTCAAAAGGCTTGTTTTGTCAAAAATCCAAAGGTGTTAGTTTTACTGTTGTAGAGGAGTAAGAAAACCAGAAAATAAATCAAATATTAAAATCTTTATTTAAAAAAAAAAGACTTAATTACTATTCTGTTGTAAAAAAAAAACTGACACAGATTATCTCTGTCAACTAATCAGCCTATTTTTTCAGCTCTATTGTAGAAGTGTTATAATTGCCTTATTGTACAATATTCATCATTACTACCTAAAGTATATCATCTTTGCTGCTGATACTCCTGAAATGGACGAACAGAAGAATCCTAAAGTTCAGAGCACAGAGATACAGTAGACAACAGGAGAAATGATGAAGGCTGGTTAGTAGTGTTAACGCCTCCTGAACCCTACTACAAAAATACTGGTATCTAACAAACTCAAAATCAGATATTTTATGTTGCAAATGCAAACTACATCTGTCTTAGTTGCTCTTAACCACACAGGCCTTATCCCTACAGCTTTCAACTGAGGTCAAATATAAAAGCGAGGAAACACAACATGGCCCCAGAGATGTGACTTTTCAGTTATTCCTCCACACAGAGAACAGACCTTTAATAACAGCAGATCAGAGGATAAGAACTCTGATTATGGATTTGATAATAGCAAAGATTTCATGTTCAATATCTTCAGAGCAGCTGCAAACCAAGCCCTCCAAGCCTCCAATCAAACCCCTGTGATGCTCTCAAAAGGGGAATCTCTGCCAATAGTGACTCACTGGAGGAGCCTCTTTAAGAGAAGAAAAGGAAAATGAAGGTTTCACTATTATACACAAGGACAAGTGTCTTGTGCCAAAACGCTGACAAGCAACACGCAGCAGAGGTGAGTTCAACTGCTGCAATTGGATTCGATGGAAATCTGGCTCTAACCTTCTAATCTTGTGGGAGTGCCCACTGTATTGATCACACATATTGATCACAAAACAGCAACATATTGAGCCAAGCTGAAACCACTCCATGGACGTGAGATAGGTGGTATTATCAGTGTGGACAGTTTTTTCATTTTTTAAATGTTTTTTTTTTCATTTACTGACGTGTTGGAAATATACATGAAATAAAATATATGAGCACCTTAGTTCTGCAGTGTTTTCTACCTTTGTGAAGATAAAACTTCTGTTGAGAGAGGTTCAATAGAGGTGTTGATTCAACTACCAAAGATTCATATAAACACTACTACTACTATAAACATTGGCTATTGATTGTTTAACATTCTGTAATGTGGCAGCATTTTTACCTGCCCATGTATATTTGCAGGTTTACATTTACAAAAATGTAAACCTGCCAATATTCAAAGTAATACACTAATATTGAGAAATACAATTATTCTCTTTCTTGCTTGAATCTAGAAGGGAAGAATTATATCACTCTCATATCCGTCTGTTAAATGTGAAGCAACAATCAGCAGCCAACTAGCTTAGCTTAGCTTAGCAAGGGAAACAACTAGCCTGTCTTAAGTCTGCTCATCATTGCCACTAAAGCTCACTAATGGTAATATATCATTTGTTTATTATTTACAAAAACTGTAGTGGATAAACCGAAATGACAATTAGTGGGT